TTCAAAGAAGGCTCCTTGAAAAAATATTCTTTAAAAAATCCACTTTTCTTCAAAGAAGGCTCCTTGAAAAAATATTCTTTAAAAAATCCATGTTTCTTCAAAAAAGGTTCCTTGAAAAAATATTCTTTAAAAAATCCACGTTTCTTCAAAGAAGGCTCCTTGAAAAAATATTCTTTAAAAAATCCACGTTTCCTCAACTGATGGTCGTTGAAAAAATATTCTTTAAAAAATCCACGTTTCTTCAAAGAAGGTTCCTTAAAAAAATATTCTTTAAAAAATCCACGTTTCTTCAAAGAAGGTTCCTTAAAAAAATATTCTTTAAAAAATCCACGTTTCTTCAAAGAAGGTTCCTTAAAAAAATATTCTTTAAAAAATCCACGTTTCTTAAACTATAGGTCCTTGAAAAAATATACTTTAAAAAATCCACGTATCCTCAACTGATGGTCGTTGAAAAACTATTCTTTAAAAGATCCACGTTTCTTAAACTATAGGTCCTTGAAAAAATATCCTTTAAAAAATCCACGTATCCTCAACTGATGGTCGTTGAAAAACTATTCTTTAAAAGATCCACGTTTCTTAAACTATAGGTCCTTGAAAAAATATCCTTTAAAAAATCCACGTATCCTCAACTGATGGTCGTTGAAAAACTATTCTTTAAAAAATCCACGTTTCATCAACGGATGGTCCTTGAAAAAATATCCTTTAAAAAATCCACGTATCCTCAACTGATGGTCGTTGAAAAAATATTCTTTAAAAGATCCACGTTTCTTAAACTATAGGTCCTTGAAAAAATATCCTTTAAAAAATCCACGTATCCTCAACTGAAGATCGTTGAAAAACTATTCTTTAAAAAATCCACGTTTCTTCAAAGGAGGGTCGTTGAAAAAATATCCTTTAAAAAATCCACGTTTCTTCAAAGGAGGGTTGTTGAAAAAATATCCTTTAAAAAATCCACGTTTCTTCAACGGATGGTCGTTGAAAAAATATCCTTTAAAGAATCCACGTTTCTTCAACGGATGGTCGTTGAAAAAATATCCTTTAAAAAATCCACGTATCTTCAAAGGAGGGTCGTTGAAAAAATATCCTTTAAAAAATCCACGTTTCTTCAAAGGAGGGTCGTTGACAAAATATCCTTTAAAAATCCACGTTTCTTCAAAGGAGGGTCGTTGAAAAAATATTCTTTAAAAATCCATGTTTCTTCAAAGGAGGGTCGATGAAAATATATTCTTTAAAAAGCCACGTTTCCTCAAAGGAGGGTCGTTGAAAAAATATTCTTTAAAAATCCACGTTTCTTCAAAGGAGGGTCGTTGAAAAAATATTCTTTAAAAATCCACGTTTCTTCAAAGGAGGGTCGTTGAAAAAATATTCTTTAAAAATCCACGTTTCTTCAAAGAAGGGTCGTTGCAAAAATATCCTTTAAAAAATCCAAGTTTCTTCAACTGATGGTCGTTGAAAAAATATTCTTTAAAAAATCCACGTTTCTTCAATGGATGGTCGTTGCAAAAATATCCTTTAAAAAATCCACGTTTCTTCAATGGATGGTCTTTGCAAAAATATCCTTTAAAAAATCCAAGTTTCTTCAACTGATGGTCGTTGAAAAAATATTCTTTAAAAAATCCACGTTTCTTCAATGGATGGTCGTTGCAAAAATATCCTTTAAAAAATCCACGTTTCTTCAATGGATGGTCTTTGCAAAAATATCCTTTAAAAAATCCACGTTTCTTCAGCTGATGGTCTTTGAAAAAATATTCTTTAAAAAATCCAAGTTTCTTCAAGTGACGGTCGTTGAAAAATATCCTTTAAAAAATCCTCGTTGACTATATTGGTCGAAAATTCTAAGCCTCAAGCAAATTTTTCAAAAAAAATTGTACCACCATTGGAACGAATTTGGAAGATTTCTTCCACAATTTCCATCCAAATCAGATGAAACTTGTCGATTGGGGTACTTGAAAGGTCGATTCTCACATTGCCAAAAATGTTCGATTCAGGTCCACTAATTGGTATGGCCACCAATGTTCGATACTTTTGAAGATTTCTGCACAATTTTCAACCAATTTAGCTGAATCTGGAAAATTGGTGTTCTGGATAGGTAGGTAAGCGAAAAATGTTCAATTAAGGTCCTTTTATTTATACATATAGGTATCTCCCGATTTTCGGTATTTTGAAGATTTCTGCCACAATTTCCAACCAAATTAGCTTAAATTTGACAATTGGTGTTCTGGGTTGATATGTTCTCTTCTAGCAAAAAATGTTCGATTTAGGTTCAGTTGTTGGTTTGAAACTATCTGCCACTATTTCCTACCAAATCAGCTTAAATTTGACAATTGGAGTTCTGGTATGTTCTTTCCTAGCAAAAAATGTTGGATCTAGGTCCACTAATGGGTACAGCCCTCATATATCGGTGCCTCCAGATTGTCGGTATTTTGAAGACATCTGCCACAATTTCCAAACAAATTATCTGATAATTTACACATAGGGTTCTTGACAGGTTTTTTCTCTCATTGCAAAAAAAATCGATTTAGGTCTACCAATTGTTATAGCCCTCATTTAACGGTCCCTGTCGACTTTCCATATTTTGAAGATTACTGCCACAATTTCCAACCAAATTGGCTGAAACTTGGCAATTGGGGTTATCGATAGGTCTGTTGTCTCTTGGCAAAAAAAAAACATTCGATTCAGATACAATAATTAGTATAGCGATCATATGACGGTACCTCTCGAAATTCAGTATTTTTGAGGTTTCTGCCACAATTTCCAAGCAAATCAGCTGAAATTTGGCATTTGGGGGTCCTTGAAAGGTCTGTTCTCTCCTTGCAAAAAATATCTGATATGGGACCACTAAATGCTATGGCCCCTATATAACGGTACCTCCCGATTTTCGGTATTATGAAGATTTCTAGCACAATTCAGCTGAAATTTGGCATTAGGGGTCCTTGAAAGGTTTGTTCTCTCCTTGCAAAAATTTTTTGATTTAGGTCCACTAATTGGTATAGCAGGAATATACCGGAACCTCCCGATTATCGGTATTTTAAAGTTTCCTGCTACAATTTCCAACCAAATTGGCTGAATCTTGAGGATTGGGGTTCTTGAATGGTCTTTTATCTTCTTGCAAAAAATGTTCGATCTAGGTCCACTAATGGGTATAGCAGCCATATAACGGGACGTCCTGATTTTCGGTATTTTAAAGATTCCTGCCACAATTCCAACCAAATTAGCGGAAACTTGAGGATTGGGTTTCTTGAATAGTCTGTTATCTTCTTGCAAAAAATGTTCGATCTAGGTCCACTAATTGGTTTTGTTTTCTCCTTGCGAAAAATGTTCGATTCAAGTTTACCAATTGGTGTAGCCTCCATATTAAGATACCTTTCGTTTTTCGGAACTTTTGAGGTTTCTACCATAGTATCCAACCAAATCAGCTGAAATTTGTTATTTGGGCTTCTTGGAAGGTACGTTCTCTACTAGCAGAAAATGTTGGATCTAGGACCACTAATTGTTATAACCCCCATATAATAGTACCTCCCGATTTTCGGTATTATGAAGATTTCTGCCTCAATCTCCAACCAAACTTGACGTTTGGGGTTCTTGATGGGTCTGCTTACTCCTTGCGAAAAATGTTCTATTGAGGTCCACTAATTGCTATAGCATTGATATTAAGGTATCTCCCGGTATTCGGTATTTTTTGAGGTTTCGCCACAATTTCAAACCAAATCAGCTAAAATTTGGTATTTTGGGTTCTTGAAAGGTCTGTTCTCTCCTTGCAAAAAAATATTCGATTAAGGCCCACTTTAAATATTTAACTTCATATATTAGGTAATTATTAAAAATTTATTAATTTTAAAGGACTACAACCAGTTTTTGTGCAACTAAAAAAAGTATATAAATATTTTTAAATAAAAAAAAACTCAAAAAAAATAATTAAATAAAAAAAATTTCCTTAAACACTTAACATATAAAAAATTAATTTACATTACTTTTTCAATGTTGTTGTTGAATATAAAAAAAATATATTTATAAGAATTAAAATATATATTGAATCAATACTTTATATGAAATAACGTAACTGAAAAACGGAATAAATTTTTTTTAAAGGAAGAAACGATATATATGTGTCCAATACAGAATCTACTGCAATACGATGTATATAAACTCGAGTGCCTTATGTTGGACTTACCTTACTAAATTACTTTTTTTCGTTTTTCTTTTTTTATCTACTCTTTTTTCTCTCGATCTCTCTTCGTACTCGTAACTGCGAAATACTACACCATGAAAACCTACTTTTCACCCTGAATCCAAATTCACTTTTCTGAAAATAAAAAAAAAAAAACAAATTTAAAAAAACAAATACCGACATATGCATTGACACCTCCTCCCCTTGTTGCTAAACGTTTCACATATTTAAAATTTTCCAAAAAAAAAAAAAAAAACATATTCTCCCCGCCATGCCGCCTCACTCTTTACCTCTGTGTATAACTCTGTTGGAATTTAAAATTTTGCTATGAAAAAAAAAAAAAAAAAATTAAAACTAAAATTCTGTAAAAATTTCATTTCCCTTCAAAAAAAATTTTTTTCTTCTAAATTTCATTCAAAATTTTAATTTTTAAATTTAAAAAAAAATAAAAAAAATTTTTTTCTTCTAAATTTCCTTCAAAATTTTAATTTTTAAATTTTTAAAATAAATAAAAAAAAAATTTTCTTCTAAATTTCCTTCAAAATTTTATAATTTCTTTGTAATTGTTAATAAATTTTTATTCTCGAAATTTGATAAAAAAACCAAATTCTTTTGAATGTATCTTTTTGAAAATTCTTAATTTTTTTACGAATTTAAACAAAATTTTAAATTTTTACAAAATTTCATTGCCGGCCAATGAAATTTTGAAAAATTCAAAATCATTTTTCATTATCATTCCTCAAAACAATTAATATTACCAAAACCAATCAAATAACCAAAAAAAATATACAAAAAAACTGATTTGATTATGACACGCCCAACCAACCAACAGGTACATATTTCAATTGCATAATGTTTATGGTAGCTTCATCCGTTGTGTCAACGATTTTAATATTAAATTATCATCATCGAAATGCTGATACACACGAAATGTCCGAATGGGTAAGTTTGTGTTTTTGTTTTTTTCTCTGTCTCTCTCTCCAAATCATCTACAAAACTGAAACTTTTCGAATTCACTCAAAACACCAACAACAACATGTCATCATAACGTCACATCACTTTTCACAAAAAAAAAAAAAATGGGGAAACTTCCCAAGTTTCCTTGGCTACATTTTCCAAAACATAACTAACCCACCAAAGAAAAACTCATTCTTCAGTCAGTCATTCATTTCAAATAAAAAAAAACAAAAAAAAATCGAAGAAAAAACATCAAAGAATTTCGAGTATTTCGACACTCACCGGAAACAGTAGCTGTTTCCGTTTCATCCAAACCAACTATAATTTTTCTGGCAATACTTCCGCTCACTCACTCACACACACACAGGCACACAAGCAATCGTCCTTTTTTCGGTGGAAGTAAATTTTCCACCAGCATCAATCTCCAAGTCAATTCAATACAATTTTCCAAAAAAAAAAAAAAAAATCCTGTGTCTGTGTGCGTGTGCGTTTGGGAGTGCGTGACTTAGACAATCATAAACCGATCGATCGCCTTGCAACAACAATAACAACAAACTAGCTGTTTACATAACAAAAATCCATGTCGTTGTCTGATTAGTGTGTTTCTTTTGTGTTTTTGTTGTTTTAGTTGGATGTATTCAATGTTTATCTTTCCTCACCAAAAAAAAAAAAAAAAAAAAAAAAAGTAGATATTTAAAGCTAGAAACCAAATCCGACCAATCTGCGTTTCAACCAAAAAAAAAAAAACAAAAAAAAAAATACAAAAAAATTGACCACTATTTTATGTTCATGTCTTGTATTTATTGTTTACAATTTTTTGTTAATTGTTGTCGTTGTGTAAATTTCAAAATTTTCCGTCTTTGTTGTTTTTTTTTTTTTCGTTTTTTGGGTTGTAGTGACAATTATTGTTAGCTGTGTTCATTTTTTTTGTTGGTATGTCACTTAGGAAAATTGTATGTTAAAACGTTACATGTTTTTTTTTCATGATTTTATAATTTGTAGCATACTTTTAGGTTGTTTTTGTGTTTAACAAGCTATTAGCCCCAAAACATTGCTGGCTTCGGTATTTATTAACAACGAAAAAAATATATAAAAAAAATAATTGAAAATAGGCAAAATTGATTTTGAAGATATCGAAAATTTCATGTAAACATTATTTGGTTTTTTATTTGTAGCATACTTATAGGCTTATTTTTTTAACGAATTATAACCATGTAATGAATTAAAATTGAATTCGATATCAGCTCATCAAATTGTAAAATTAAATTGAATTCGATATCAGCTCATTAAAATGTAAAATGTTTCACTTCATTTCATCATTGTGAAAATTATCTCTTTGTAGCATACTTTTAGGCGCTCTTTGGTTTATACGTTAAAAATTTGATTTTTTTACCGCTAGGTCTTAGTTTCTCATGCTGATTTCTCTCAAATATTTGGCATAGTTTCAAGTTCCTTTTCCAAAAAGCAGTTAAATGTCCGATCCTGTAATCATTGCGGATATTTTTGGATTTGTAGGATTGGATTTGGATTTGTATGTTAAACGGTTATTGCTCTACAAATTTTTGTAGGGATTATTTCTTAATACTAATCCCTCTGAAATTTCAAATAAGTTTTAATTTTCTTTCCTTAAAATTCTTTTGAAAAAAAAAATTCTACAGCATACTTTCAGGCCTCACTTATACACTCTTGGCGAAAGTTCTTAGAATTTAAGTGCATACTTTTAGGGCTTAGTTCCTCATGCTAATTTCTCTCAAAGTTTTGGCATAGTTTCAACATTTTTCTTAAACAATGGTTATAAGTCATTGTGCATATTTTGACTTTGAAGGCGGGTTATACGTTTCTTGGTGTTATTTCTTAATGCTGATTTCTCTTAAATTTTGAAGTAGTTTTATGTTTCTTTTCTTTAAATAAAAAGTTCCTTCATTTAATTAAATTATATAATTATTTTCTACAGACGTCACCTGGCTTTTACGCTCTTGGTGAATAGTTTAAAATTTAGGTCTTAGTTCCTCATGCTGATTTATCTCAAATATTTGTCATCGTTTTAAGCTTCACTGGGATATACGTTTTTTTTTTTTTTCTTAAGTCTCATTTCTTCATGACGAATTCTCTCAAATTTTGGAGCACCTTTAATTTGCTATTCTTAAAATGGTAATTTATTTTTTTCTACAGCATACTCTTAGGCGTCACTTGTTTATATGCTTTTTGGGAATAATTTGAAAATAATGTATTAGCATAATTTTAGGTCTTAGATCGTCATCTCAAATTTTTGTCATAGATTCAAGATTCTTTCCTAAAAATTGGTTAAAAGTATCTTCATTTAATCATTGAGAATATATCGATCTTATCGAGTCTCTTTGCTGAATATGGTTAAAAAGTGCCTTCATTTAATTAAGATATATAATTTTTTCTGTAGCATACTCTCAGGCGACACCTGATTTATACGCTCTTTGTGAATAGTTTTGAAATTTTTCAGTATAGCATACTTTTAGGTCTTATTCCTTCACGCTGATTTCTCTCAAATTTTTGTCATAGTTACAAGTTAATTAAAACAAAAAAAAAAAAAAAAAAAAAACAATTTAAAGTCTCTTTATTTAATATTTCGATTTGAAGGCTAGTTTTATTTTTTTTATAAAATGGGGAAAAGTACCTTCGTTTACTTAATGTATATAATTTATTATATAGCATACTCTCAGGCGTCACTTGGTTCATAAGCTCTAGGTGAATAATTTTGAAATTTTTGCGTTAGCATACTTTTGGAACTTAGAACCTCTTGCCGATTTCTCTCAAATATTTGTCATAATATTTTAGGTGTTCTTCGCAACTGTATTCCCTTAAATTCTAACGTAGTTATAATTTTCTTTTCGTAAAATGGTTAAAAAGTCCCTTCCTTTAATTAATTTATATAATTTGGTTTAGACCCTCTTGGTGAATAATTTTGAAATTTTTTGGGCATAGCATATATTTAGGTCTTATTTCCTCATGCTGGTAATGTCATTTAATTTACGCATATATTTTTTTCTACTGCATATTCCCAGGTGTCATTTGGTTTTTGAGCTTTCGGGGAATAATTTGAAATTTTTGTGTTAGCATACTTTTAGGTCTTATTTCTTTATCTCAAAATTTTCTCATAATTTCAAATTGTTTTTCCAAAAAAAAAAAAAAAAATTGTTAAAGTTACCTTCATTTAATCATTGCGAATACTTCGACTTTGAAGGTTTCACTGGTTTATACGTTTTTGCTACACAGAATTTTTAGGATCATGCTGTTTTCTCCCAAAAATTCTGAAGTAGTTTTAAGTTTCGTTTCTTAAAATGATTAGAAGTCCCTTTATATTAATGTTTATAATTTTTTTGTTATTTAGCATACTCTCAGGTGCCACTTGGCTTATACGATTCCGGTGGATAATTTGATATATTTTATATTAGCATCCTTTTGATGTCTCAAAACCTCGAGCTGATGTCTCCTAGATTTTTGTCATAGTTTCAAGTTTTTTTTTCCCTAAAAAGGGGTGTATGTAACTTCATTTAATCATTGCGAATATTTCGACTTACAAACGTTTTCGGGTCCTATTGTTCAAGCTAATTTCTCTTAAATATTGAAGTAGTTTTAGGTTTCCTTTCTTACAGTTTCATTTAATAATATTGTACAATTTTTCTCTAGCATACCCTCAGGCGTTGCTTGTCTTATACGCTTTCGGTGAATAATTTTAAAATTTGTGTATTGCATCCGACGACTTCTTTATGCTGAGTTCTTTCAAATTTTGGCGTAATTATAATTTTATTTTTTATACCTCCACCATTCTATTAAGGGTATATTAGTTTTGCCATTCCGCTTGTAACTCCTCGAAATATTCATAATAGACCCTACAAAGCATATATATTGTAGATAGAAGGCTAAAATTTGGCATACATGCATATTTTACCAATAGGCAGTATAAGTTCGTCACATGGCTACAGAGGGTATATATCATTATCATGTCGGCCGAAACGTGCCCGAAACGTGGGTCGCAATTTTAAATATCCGTGAAGCTCAAAAAAAGTTAAATTAACATACGATTGATCAGCATAAATTTTTTTTGTCGGTTTATTGACGTCCGTCTGCCTGTCCGTCTGTGGAAATAACTCTAGCTTCCGAATGAATTGAAGTAGATTGATAAAATTTGACTCGAATGTATAGTATATCTGCAGGACTTTTGGTATTGAAAATGGACCATGTATGTCCACGTTTTGGTATAGCCCCCATATAATTTTTGATAATTTTTGAGACAATATTCACCGGAATTGTTTCAAATTTGGTAATTAAAGTTCGTAATGGATATTACAGTCTACGATATAAAATTGTCTGTGCAGGTCTGAGTTTTGGAATAGCCCCTATATAACGGTACCTCCCGATATTCTGTATTTTGAAGATTTAAACAACATTATTCACCGGAATTGTTTCAAATTTGGTGTTTGAAGTTCGGAATAGATACAACAGCCTAAGAAAGAAAATTGTCTTGCAGGTCCACGTCCTCATATAGCCCTATCGATACCTCCCGATATTCCGTATTTTGATGATTTTAGCGGCATTATTTACCGGAATCGTTTCAGATTTGGTATTTGAAGTTCGTAACGGATACAACAGCCTACGACAGAAAATTGCCCGTGCAGATCCACGCCCTCGTATAGCCCCCCATATAACTGCACCTCTCTATTATCGGTATTTTGGTGATTTAAGCGATATTATTCACCAGAATTGTTTCAAATTTAGTAGTTGAAGTTAAATATTTTTTCATTAAAATCTATTTTCGAATTTTTTCCTGGGCATTTAGGCATTCTGCTTTGAGGACGCAATTCTGCTCCAATATTCTAGTTATTTTTGCAGATTTTTTATTTGTGTTTTTTTTTTTTTTTTTTTGGATTTTCGACTTCAAAATATTGTATTTAAATTCGCTCTATCAATTTTTCCATTTAGCCTATGATATATTTTTGACCTCCTAACTA